CCCCACATGTGACATCAAATTAGCAGTGAACAATGAAAGAATGAACATTCAAACTTTTTTTAACATCGAAGACGGAAGAAGAAGTTTGCTTGTTATAGCTATATAAATCGTTTGTCCATTATCAAATAATTCTTTGAAAGCGCAGCAGCGCAGATGAAAAATCATTTTCGATTAATGAAATAATTAATTTTCAAAATTTGAATGGGAAAAATTTTATTTTAAAGCCAATTAAATTTGTTTAATCTGAATAAAATCATCAAATAAATTGAAGAATTCATCTCAACCATCATGCAAATGCTCAAGTATCTCTCTGCTATGTGTAGAAACAACGTAAATCCATTGATTAGAATCAGAATGATCTTCTTTTTTTTCTAAGATGAGCCTAGAACGACGAAAATGTTGAACAAACAGGTTCAAAATCAAACTACATAATTCGGGTCAGATATTTGCTTCCCCCCCACACCCGCGAGCAAGTCCCGCTCAATTGAAAAAAATGTAAATAAGTCCATAAGATTGTTAAGATGAGATAGGTACGCAATAATAGAAAGAAATATAAATCTAGGATCAGGCTCAGAACATATTTTGAGACATTTGTAAGATATTATACAAATTTTATAAAGCATTCCTAAAGGAGAGCCGATAATGAAAAGCAGGATAATGTGAGGCGGATTTATGTAATGTGACAGATGAGCAAATCGATGCAGATCATTTCCTGAAGTCAGCTGGATGCTTTATCTGTTCAGGAAAGAGCTCAGAGCAAAGCAATTACGTTTCAGTGCTATGTCCTTTCTACCGGAATGCACAAAAATTGAGTAAATATGCTATCTAATCGTCTGTGTCAAATTAAACTGTGTGGGTGTCAAATGTAAAAATTTTATGAACAAAAAAGAAAAAAAAAAGAATTTTTGTTGATTTTCCTAAATAGACTAGTTGTATGTGATGGGGGGGGGGGGGGGAAGAGGAAGAGAAAGAATCTTTATTGTCTCTTTTATGATTCAATTTGCCGAGAAATATAACTTATCATTGCTTGAATGGAAGCAACGAAAGGAATTGAAAATCATGAGTTCGAATCTAATTTGGGGAAAAAAGTGATTGTTCAATGATTTCTTTACAACAAACTGTGTGACGATGTCTTGCTATCCTGGCTATTTTTGGAATCACTTGTTCAAATCAAAGTTATATTCTTGTAAATAACTTTCTTCATCAATTGCATTCATCAGGTGGAAATGTTTTGCATCACACTATCCTCGAAATCCATTATGTAACTCCTTCGTTCTCTTCTTATTATCATTTTACTTCAATCAATTAATTTATAGAATTAAATTTCCATATCTGGTTGAAATCTTTTGATCTTTCAGAGAAATCTGCTATAAGCCTTTTTATAGTTAACACACTTAACTGAGTGCAGATTAACATTAGAATCCAAATCGCCTTATATAGTACGTTGATGTCATATGACAATCAGAAGGTGCCCAAACATGCCTATAAATCAGAATAGACTTTGTCGATCTCATAGTTCCATTGTAGTAAACAGTCTGTGACATCAAGAAAAATCGTTTTATTATCAAATATATTATTAAAAAAACATCTTTATAAAACCAACATTTGTTTTCGCCATTTATATATTTCAAAAAAGAGAGAACAACTTCATTAATAGAACGACTGGTTGAGCCACAAAGCCCTCAACAGTTTTAGAAAGTTTTGAAACACAATCACATGTTCGCATACGTATGTGTGTGAGTGTTTGTGTGTATGGACAACAGTAACAGAAACGTTTTCGTTGTGACTTTTCTCATCGATCAACAGTCAACAAGGAAATGTTCTTCTCCTAAGCCATGAAGTTCTTATGTACAATTACATCAAGAGAGAGACTTTATGAACAAGTTGAGCTCTTCATGTATATCACCTGACTTATTAAATATGATGGAATGAGCTATCGTAACAACCTTGATGCGAGCTTATACACAAGATTATTAAACATGTGTAACACCTGAAGCAATATGATTATGCTAACAATTTTGAGCAATTACGGCTATGCAACAGTTAGCTAAGAATCAAAAAAAAAACAAAAATTACATCTGAGACAACTAAACAGGCAACTAAAATCTCATATGCGGGTTATATATATATTTCAAATATTAAATCTCAAATACTTCAGAATGTATCTAAACACTACAAAATTTGATAGAAAGATTATATATATATATATCTATATATATATATATGTATATATATAAATATATGAGTATATATTTAATAGTTAGAGGGCTCCATAAACATCCCTGACTGTTCGGACACGTTTTTTTGTTGCTTCTCAGCATAGAAAGTCGGACGGCTGCAGTAGGTGTGACATGTCCACTTTCCTGACCATAACATCATGAGCTTCACGAAACTTCTTCAGCACTCAAAGCTGCGGCTAATCATAAAAGATCATTGGCGAATGAAAGATTGTAGCCCGTTGACTCATGTGGAACTGGAGCCTCAAAGTCAAAAACTTTCATCTCAGCTTCATTAGAAGTCACTTCGTTAACCTGTAACCATAGACGAATTTTCAGGCACTTTAGTTCATGAAATGAGAAGGGGAAGTTTTAATCTGCAGATGTGAGTGAGTCAGAAAAAAAGAATGGAAATAGGAAGGAAAATGAATTAAAGTCGTACCTGAGTATCGTCTTCACCTTGCAAATGCTGTTTGACCGAAGAGTGCAACTCATACGGCAACCCGTTGAGGTTGGCTAAATTGAATAAAGCCAAGAATTGTACATTATCGTCTTCTTGTTGAGAAAGATGCTGAAACAAAAGTGTTAGCCCCAGGCTCATACGTATTCATCAAACCTCAATACTTGGTAAAAGTAATAAAATCTTTGAAACTCTTTGTGTAATTTCCAGTGAAGTGAAATGAGGATGTTTCGCAGCTATGTGGTGGAAAAGAGCATCAACGTATTTGTCCCGAAGCCTATTAACGATAGATTTTCCTTCTTCCGAAAGTTTTCGATCTAAATTCGGTCATTTCAATTCTTTATTTCAAATTAAAATTTTCTTACGAGCTCGGAAAAGTATCAACACTTTGAGCAAACAAAACTCTGCATCGTCCATTTCCATTTCACGCATGGGATAAACCAAGTCTAACATTAAATGCTCTGCTAAAATTTGGAAATAGTGATTGCATCTGCAATGTTTCATATAAGTAGGGGGTACGTTGCCGCTTAACAAACCCTGGATCAAGTAATTTCTGCATTTCCACATCTCTAGGATACCAACTACCATTGACTAGAGCTACTCCATCGCAACCAGCTTTGAATGTTTTATAAGTATGGCACAGCCAATTCACTGAGACAACCCGATTCCTCAATAGAGTATATCGATCTGACTCTGATAATTCCTTAAACAGAGATTTCGTCATTGCTGGTTCATGAGGGAACTAACTGTATAATCACGGAATATATTAGCCCAGTCTACGCAAAGAACGAACGATCTACACCAGGCGATTTGCACATCTTCTAACGTTACCAGTCTTTCTAAGGCATACCATTTGGGCTGGAAATAACAAAATAAAACGTTGAAGCTAATAGCAATAAACTTACAGGTGTTCGCCTTGCGACAATACCGGGTTTCTTGAAGGCAATTTCAATTGTAACATCTACACGGCATAGCTTATCAAATTCTTGGTCAATTTCTAAGTCTTCTTTGGTATCAAACATATTATCAGTCTGCTCCTCCTAAAAGAAAGTATTCAAAGAGAAACATCATCCATGCTCCTACTAAATCCAATAAATACTGAACGAGGGCTGTTTGGTAATTGGTTCTGTTTGAAAATTCTTGAGCTTTAGAAACTGGAGGATATACTGACAGCGTTTCAGCGAAAGCTCTGTTCACAGCTCCGGGAACTTGAATGACAATAGTTCTCATAATACAGAAGTGCTTGAAACATACCTTGTATGTTGGTGGAATACGTTAATTTATTGAAAGTAACTCGAGAAGTTTGCATAGGACTTGAAGTAGAAGGAGAGGAGTTGAGAATTACCGAATTCATGGAATTTGGAATGAAAGGCGACATAGTAGGTGAAGCTTCCTAACATATCAAAATAACATAAAGTTTACTCTTTTTACTCACATTTTGGAAGGAAGAAGTACTAGGTGGTTGGACAGTCTCATCTATGCTTATAGAGGGCGACGACGAGAGCGAAGGCTTTTTCTTATGCTTATCACGTTCGGATTGTACAGCTGAAAGCAAAAATGAGAATATCTCTCTTTGTCCTTTAATACAATTAATTTCAGAATTATATTAATGAAATATTCAGGCTGTTTTCGTACATCTATCAGTTCCTAGGAATAGAAGCATGGAATTTACAAACCTCGGGCATCCATTCCAACTTCAAAACAACGGGCGAGGCGGCAAGCCCTACATCGATTACGATATTCTTGTATTATCTGACACTTTCCTCCGAATCGACATGTATAGTCTCTCTGTTCCCAAATACTAAAACATATCTTTTATCATTCAAACACGTGTACAACGCAACCTTCGACGGAAAAATCCTTTACAGCCATTACAAGCAATCGTTCCATAATGTCTACCTGCTCTAGAATCTCCACAAACTCGACATTGCATGCCTGAAAAAAAAGAATTTGAACGAAAATGATTATTTATCCATTTTTCATTTTATCATACAAAAGCCATATGGATAAAATTGACAAAAAGAAGAAATTCAGAGAGATTTGTACATATATAGAAGCAAGTGAATGTTGCAAGAGAAAGTGATAGCAATAGAAGACAAACTAGCTGGGGTACCGGCTTGAGGAAGCGTGGATCTAGCAGATATCTCCACCACACCAGTCTCGTTCTTTGGATGTAGAAATTCGATAGGTTGTGGTAGCGAGACTGCCGGCTCAAAACGGCCAACTGAAAACACAAGTACATAATCCTACTTCTATCTCTAACAGGAAATTTAGTTGTAATAAAAAAGTCTCATAATGCCCTCCACAAAAGTCAAAAGTTAACTCATTAATGCACACGTGACACGATTTGTGGTAATAACAAACGAACTTCAAAAATTCACAGGTTTCACCTTTACACAGGACATCAAAATAGAGAAAAATACTTACTCCGTTGATGAGGAATCATCGGGGTTGACTCTAAACGAGCCCGTTTAACTGGTATGGGCTCCGTCTGGAAATAATAAAATCAATTTGGTCTTTGAAGGAGGAGAAACATTTCTAAGAGTAACAGAGTACAAGACTGAAATGTTTCATGATAAATAGGACATAGTGAAGTCATAAAAGCGTTCTGTTGTTTTGGTGTGTGTTCAATGCAACTCCAAAATGTGCCTTGTTTCTAATTTCAGATGTGTAAGAAACATTACTAGATGAGCGAAAGGTCAATGATAAGCAGATATCGTCTCGATTTCCGAGAAATGAGAGACAATGGGCGAACTTTCTCCTTGTGATAACTAACGAGTCGATCAATATGTGGCAGCGAAATACGACTGCCTCATGCAGAATCATCGCTATTCCGGTTATTACTACACACCTCTTTCTCTCCTTCTCTCCGATTTCCCTCTATCGCTCCCTGTGTGTCTCTCTCTTTTTCTCTCTATTTCTCAGCGTATGGAACATTTCATAGCACTTCATTCTATTTCTTTCTCTTAGCCATCTCTCCGAGACTTTGACACTTGAAACTGTGCCTCTCTAACCTCATCTTCTCCAACCGATCCAATAGTCTAAAATCATTTTCATCATGTTCTAACTATGATCATTTTGTCTATTACGTTCCATGTTGCTCACGTAAAGTTCGGCTCTCTCTTTCTCTTTTTCTGCCTCTTCCTCTTCTCTCACTAGAAACTGCTCGATTATATTCGAAGGGAATAAAATGTACTTTGGCATGCTCTTCAACAGTAACATTAATTAAACAAGATGAGCACAAACACGACCAAAAAGAAATTTTGTTCAAAAAAGTTTTAAGAGGCATTAAGTTTAAAATCTGACTGATTAAAGGCAAACAGCACACAACAATCAAGCACAACAGCTATCAAAAAGTTTGAAAGGGTGATGATAACGGTTGAAAATCAATTTGAATCAACACAGTACGGGGTGGATAGCAAGGAGAGACCGAAAAGTGGTTTGTCGATCATTTTCATGCCTATCTCAAAAAGTTAAAATCACAATTATCGTCTCTACTTAGATTCTTCGCCACAACGTGTAAGACATCATGCGGGTAAAATCTGGTTAAGTAGTAAAAGGCGGAGAAGAGACGAGAAAAGAGAGAAGTAGGGAGAGAGAGAAAGAGAGAGAGAGAGAATAAGAGAGAGATTGAAAGACAGAAACAAAGCAAAATATTTCTCAAGTAGGTGTTAAGAAGAGAAACATGAACAAGCCGCAAGAAAGATGGAATGTTACATGGATACGCAGAACGAACACGCATACACATAGACACACACTATGCCTAATCAATACAACCTTTTACGTTAATAGCAAGACAACTGTAGTTTCCACTTCAATATTTTCAACTTCTTTAACTGCACTATTTTCATTAATCACGTGTTATACCATACAATGACTTTTTTTCGTGGCGTTCAAATAAAAAAAGAAAATGGGTAGGAACAAAATATAGGCAGTATGAACTTGGGATGAATGAGTGTAGAATAGCTTGTTGGACCACTTCACGTTACCCATAAGAAGATGGCCTATAAAACCTCGAAGGTTTTCTAGGACTAAACGCACCTCTACATCATAACCACGACCACAATATGACTACAAACACAAAGAATAGCAGAGATATACACATAGTATTAGAAAATATAACAAAAATAGAAGAGGATTCGAAAGAGAACAAGAGCTAGATGTTGTGTGGAAACAAATAGATAATGATGGCAGAATGTTTAACATTTTGCTCAATGCGGTAGCTAAGACAGAAAAGTACACCAGAAAAGCAAAGAAAATGGATAGGAGAATGAGGGAAAAGAAGTAGAGTCAAAGAGATTCAGAGATACAAGAGAATGAAAAAGAGAAAAGAGTGAAAAACAGAAGAAAATGATGGGAAAAAAGAAGAGAAACAACCGTTCTCCCATTTTTCACTATTCAAAATGAAACTTTTGAACCACGTAAGAGCCACGTGAAATAATAGCATACGCCGTAATGCTAATGCAAACACAACTAACCACAGTTAAGTCTGACTTCACTAGAAAGATCACATCATACAAACTTTTTTTCTAACGTAAATCATACAGCGTATTGGAGGTCACTCAAATCGGATATATGATAGTCACAAAGATCAATCAAACCAACAGACAGAAAGAGGAAAGGGTATTCCCCGAACATCCTTCATATCATTCTCACGCTGACTCAAGATCTCAACAAGTGGATGAACGAGAAGAAGACAATCGAAGGTTCAAAAACTTCCGCTTCTTACAGCTTAATGATGTGTAGAATAGTTGTGATAATCTGATTGATTAAATAGTTATCAGATGATGCCATATAAGCTTCGAGGCTTCACATTCGAGATAAGCGTTAAGTACACTCTAATTGAAGCCAATAATACATGAGATTATTTTGATATTTTAAGACAAATTCTGGGTTAAAGAGAAATAGCAAATATTTGAAAAGAAAGCCGTTGTACCTTTAATGGAATGAACAGTTGAATCGAACAAAGCTAGTCAAATAACGGCTCGAATGACAAAATTAGAAGTGGGAACTTTGAAAATTGCAATCCTTCTATGAAGAACATAGCAAGCAACAGATCGAGAAAGAACGAAAAATTATTGAGATTAAACTTTGGGAAATAAATTACGTGATACGTCTGAAAACCGTTCAATCTCATGATCAATAATCAAAATCATTCTATTCATCTTGGGTGATTTCTGATTTTCCTAGAGCGACGCAGAACTCTATTCAATTCGTTCACACACAAGAATGATCAAGTTCAAAACTATTGAAGACAGAAATGAAATGTAATGAAAGGACAATATTATCGGAGAGGAAAAAATGTCAACACGTAACTTTTTGAACCAAAAATCTTCTCAGGCACTGGCCAGTAAACAGGATTAGAGAAACTAACAGAGAGAAACTGAGAGAAACAGAGAGAAAAAGAAAAGTGTAGAGAACAAGAGTATCATTTGATGAATGAACAATTCCAGATCAAACCTATTAAACAAAAAAATTAATTTAGGTATCAGGAGAATGGTCAAAGATATTCTTCCGGCAAGAACGTGCAAATCCATGTGAGATTAAAAGATCAAATTACATCGTAGAGGCACTTGAGTAGGTGAAAGATTAAAACAAAAAAATGGCTTTCAAATATAGTTTAAAAACGAAACATTAAGAAATATAAAAATTCGATCTCAAATCTCATTTCAATAAGTTTGGAAAAATAAAAATTACTGATCTGACAAGACTTAGATGCGCAAATTCGGTTCCCTTTAGCACCATCCCTGACCCAGTGCAACGACAGTATGGAGATGGTTGTTTGATCTTTTGAACTTTGGTTCCTACTGGATCGGTTGAGTACTAAGGACCAAGTTAAGGAGATAGTTCCAAAGTAATCCAGTACTCTGACAGTTACAACTTGAGTATAAAACCTTGTTTAGGCCTACTGATATTCTTTCGGATATGAGGTCAACATTGTAGTAGAAATCGGGGTCGACGTCCGCAGCATCAGCACGCATATCAGAATCTTATCAAGCGGTTTTTCGACGTCATCTAGTGGTGGCTCTCTTCTCGGTCAGACAGGTACAAGGTGGATGTGTGAAATTTGTAGCAAAACTCCATAAATCAGTCGTTTTTGCTATAAAGCACGTGATGATATGAATGATTAGATGTCACATGATGGCTCAGTATCTAAAAATTGCTTCTACGAAGCATGAAAGAATTTATTTAAGTTCGGTGCTACAGTAGCGATTCATCAAACCAAAGGTCTTCTATTCACTATCGGAATGTTCGGGATCTTAGAAATTCAAAGAGCAGAAACAAAGAAGAGAAACGTTAAGAGTTTAATTCTGGACTGGTAACTAGTATTGTCAAGTAAGTATGATAGGATATTATCAATTGGTACTGAATGAGAAGGGTTTATGGTGAGAAGAGAACGCACATTTCCAAATATTTATAAAGATTGCCTTTTCCTTATCTTTCTCCTTGTTTATAATCTAAATATTGAAACCTGACTATAAATAGACTTTTTTTTCACTTCGATCAAACTTCTTTATCTTTAAAAAGCGTTCCCCGATATTTGACAGGGAGAAGCCAGCGATGAATATAAAATTAGGAGAGATAAGCAGGGACATCATGTTTCATCCCCGAAGCGATATGTTCTCAACCTGTTAGGCCATGCCATCATTCTTTTCCTGGGTGTATAATCCGGATTGTAAATTGCTTCAAATTATCTTACAGCGCAAAAAAAAATAGGAACTCCTCTCTCACTGAAACTGTTTGAATCATTTTTTAAAATTGGAATCACTCATCTATAAGACACTGTAGGAAGGTGGTAGAAGTTCATAACACCAAATGATTAATCATCTTCACCAAAAATTAATCAAAAGACAGATGAGAGCTTCTGCATTCACAGCGATACATAAAAAAAGAAAAAGAGAAAGAGAAATGGAGAGAAAGAGAGAGAGAGAAATAGAAATAGTGAGTGGGGTTAGGTTTTATAAACTACCGAAAAAAAAGAATGAAAAATATGTATGGTTCTGTGAAATGTTTAAAATAATTTCACTTAGCAACAGACGAGATAAACAATTTAGAAAATTGAGAAAACCTGAAGTATATTTCATATTTGAACTACCTTTTTGAAAACGAGACTAATTGGAGGAAATAAGTAATAGGAACTACATGTACGTTGCCACATATCATATAATCATCAAATGGGTTCTAAAAATGCACAGCCGGCTACGCAGTCGTCAAGGATATAAATGAAAAATCTCACGTCTCGAACAGAATTAGAATAACTTAGCCAGATTGAATCTATACAAATGGGCGAGAACTGAATATATTACACCTGGACAGAATGATAAGAATGAGTGAGTTTCATATAAATACTGAAGCAGAAATGGAGCAACATATATCCTTTCATCTGATAGATAACACGAAATCGAATATGTATAAGAAATTAAGAAAAAGTCACGTTGGAATGAAATAAAAAAAAGAACGTGTTCAGCAAGGGACAGCCCGAAACACATTTTGACCCCCCTCCGCTATGTTATTGACAATCTCTGAGATAGACACCACTAGAAACATGCTGATCTAATGCTTGTTTTTAAATCTTACGTCTATAAAAAAACTTATGTGGTAAAAACAATAAGGAATGTATCATTTAATGACATGATTGCCTGTGTCTCTTCGCGAAAATAAGAACATCGGGGGTAGGTGATCAAGATAGCGGCAGTTCATGAACAGTTCTCTCTTCAAGAAGACAATATACGGTAATAAAAAAATACGCAATTGCGAATTTTGCTAAGTAAGCAAACACCTTGAAAAACAGTCGGGTCCAATGTATTTCATGGCTTGTTCAAACTAGGTACGAAAGCTTGCAATATATTCATTTGAGAATGAGACTATGCAGAACGCCATGAATAATATGATTTCCATTTATCTGACGTCCAATTTTCTTTCATCTTTCACTATTAGTTCCAATTATAACATTTCAATAGAAGTACATAATATACTTGTTGGACTTACAGTTCATGAATCTACGGCTCATCATAGTGTTTTCGAGTTCTTTTTTTCTTCATTAATTTAAGAATGAACTGTTCTATTCTTCTTTTTCTCATTTCTCTCTTTTCAAGGGTACAACTTACTTGTTGACCAAGACCGAAAAACAGTTTTGAATACGGTAAGGATCAAACATGTAAGTTATTTGATTTGGCGGCTTTCTTTCCGGATATTGTGAATCGAACAAAGTTCTTTGAATTCAGAAAATACATCTTGAAATCCTTTGCGTCAGAACAGATTAAACAATACTACAACCCATCGCTGTATAAACCTCCTAATTAGAAACGAATCCATTTCTTAATGAACACATTCAATGTTACCAAACAAGCTATATTTGGGGGCGATGAAGAAGGTGAAAAACGCTTATCACGGGCTGAGAGAATACACCGAGGTAACCTCCTTATACTGAGCCAAGCTGAATGTTGTTTCAGACAATGAAAGATCAAATCTCCTGATCATTTCAAAACTAGTATTGAAAGCTTTTTTAGAGCAAGCCATGGTTTCACGTAATAGGTACTTTATCATTCTATTTTATTAATTATTTTTTCCAAAGAATCATAGATTGTGAATCACAACAGCTGAGTGATCTTCTAATGTTGTTAGAAAAAGTTCTGTTTCATGGCTTCAAGGCTGTGAGTAAGTTTAAAACTCTTAATGACTGAAAGTTCTTTGCTCAGACACTAGATCTTTCCTTGTAATGAAGTCAAGAGACTCCGAGCTATGGTCTACACTTTGTATTCTAGCGAGAGGTGAGGAAAGCATGATGGAAGCCGTTAACTGTGTTACTCATTTGGAAGAGTTGCTGTTGAGTTATTCATGTTAGACTTAGGGAATCATTACCTTTAGGACACCTATAACCAAAACTCGAGCATTCTTAAGAGTTGCCTTAATGCAGAAAAAGATTGCAACTTTCCTGACGCATATCTGCATGTCATCTCGGATAGGGTATTCCTGATACTGTTTAGACACCCTTATACAAGCTTATTGACTTTAGAGACTTCTATGAAAGTTGGGCTTTAGTGAGACATGAGGACCTAATTCAATTATCAGGATCTCTGTTAGGACTTTCTGTAATCGATTGTAATATTCAGCTTAACTATGACAACCTACAGGTACATTCCAAACTTGCAACCTTTCACTTTTTTCGATTTTTAGGAGCAACCTCTCAGCGTCGATTTTAGTCAGTATATAAAAATCCCCACTCTACCTATGGATGGAGGCGATCAGGAAAAGGTAGGCTGATTTTCTGTTTTTAGAGCTATTGTTTGTTAGAGTTGCATCCCACGAATAATATTTGTTGGTTTTTTTAGGTTGTGGTTGATGAAGAACTGAAAATTGCTCTGGATCAAAATAATTTTTTGGATGAAAGAAATAGATATTTACAGTTAGTGAAAACATTTTTGTTTTTTTTACTGTTTCTATTCTAGAGATCAGGTGGATCAACTCAAAAAAAAGTTGGAAAGTTTGGAAAGCGCTAAGTCAAACGTCGTCCTAATGAATGATGTAAATCTGTGTAATCTTCTTCCTAGATAATTATATTTTGTAGGTTGTAAAGTTCAATAATGTCGAAGAGAAAGAGGAACATGATGAAACTGCTTGTAAGAAAGATATGCAAAATCTACGTAAAGAGATCGAAAATCTCAATGCTCATATGATTGAACTAGAAGACACCATAGCAATCAACAATCAACAGTTGGATGATACAAAAAAAATTAATGTTGATTTATATGATAAGCTGCGTAGCTCGGAGGATATTGTTCGTAAGTTGGAACAGGACTACGTTAAACTGAGAGAAAGAGCCGATCAGGCAAGTTTTACTACTGTAATAATTGACTTAATTCCATTCAAGGAAAGAGAAGTTCTGAAAAAAGGAACACGAACATTGGAACTACAGAACTCAACGTTACTTGAGAAACTCTCAGTCCGAGACAGTGATCAAGGTTTGAACCTTGAGCACCCTATCTACTCTTTTCTTCAGATTGTGTCAGGTCTGAACTCGAGAAGAAGTGCGAACAATATTCAGACATTCTTTTCAAGCTGGAAGAGAAACAGATTGCTTTGAAACATGTTGAGTCTAATGATAAAGTTTCCAAACAAACCGATAGAATTATAGACAGAACAGGAGCTGGAAAATCATCACAAAGAAATACTGAAATTACGAGAAGAAGCGAAAGAAATGCCGAACGTGGTCGAGGTAAACAGAACCTTCATATTCTCTCACTGATTTTCTCATCAGGAATTAGAAGAATTACGTGAAAAATATGCTGTAACGAAAGCAAGAGCGGAGGAGCTGGAAAAAGCTCTTGAGGAGTTGGGGGGACAACTCAGCGAGTATCTTCTGTTTTTATTCATAATTCAACGTTTTGAGTTCAGATCGAAGTTAAGGATGATTGAGTTAGCAGAGGAGTTCAGACCTCTCTCCGACGGTCAGTGGGCGAAAGACTCGGAAGTCACTAACTGTACTAGTTGTGAAGAGAAATTCACATTGTCGAGAAGAAAACACCACTGCAGGTATAATTTGTTTCTCTCTTCAATATTTCACCTAATTTTCTGTAGGATGTGTGGTGCTATATATTGTGCATCCTGCAGCGCGTCTCGAGTGAAACTTCCTTCGAACCCTAAGCCTGCTCGGGTTTGCGAAGCGTGTTTTGCCATTCTGCAGAATAGACAAAATTGATAGTATTGTTCATATCCTAATCTTTATTTATTTATTTATATGCTATTATATATGTATCATAGACTTCTGGGTTTGGTTGTGCCGTGTATAATTAATTCGTGATAAATTTGTGATATGTACATAGATAAAGTGAAATGACTCAGTACTCTTGTTCCTCATGATACGAAATGATTTCTAGCTGTACTTGATCCAAATAGAACTCTTTCTCAAAAATATTTAGCAAAATCGGGCAATACTCGAAAACGTCTTGCAAGTATCGGTTTGGATATTATGATTGTATTCCCGTTTCAAGCTGGAACAATTTACAAGATGAGAGGAGTTCCCACGAACTCTTATATGGATAATAATGGGTAGGACAGTACTGTTGAGAAATTCGGGAGGCCGAAGTCAATTCTTGATTTCCTCACCTCTGTGTAGCATTACGTTCCTCATAGGCGCTACAAGGAATATGCGTACGCAATACTTTATGTTTTAGGCTTACAAATATTTTTAGTTTCACGTCATAGCTGAATATTTTGTTTTTCACAGTTTTTTCTCATTATTTTTATTATTTTTGAAGATTGAGTGTGAATTTCGTACTTAAAATTTTAATTTAATGTTGTTTCACTCCCATAACACGTTCACATCACTTCAGATGTCATCTCCTCGTCTTCTTGGGGTGGGAAATGCTGTTCGCATTTCTGCAAGAACTATGTACGAGAATCCATATATCAACAGATTCAAGGCTAAGAGCAAGGTTTCAGAGGATTATTACAAGAAGGTTCGTCTATTTTTGGTTGTTACAGTTTACTCTTTGTGTTTTAGTCAACAGGAATCACCGGTCTTTTTGTTAACGAGCACCCCCATCGTACTTTGAATGTCGTTTACAGCAGAATTCTTAGAGCTTTGGAGCAAATGCCACCCACTGCTGCATATAGAAAATACACAGAAGCCGTTAGTTCTCCTGAAAACTTTTAACTTATTCTGTGTTAGATCGTTAAGCAACGTTTAGCCCTTGTTCAAGCTGAAGATGACATCCAAAAACTTGAACAGAAGATTGGAATGGGACAAATAGAAGAAGTAATTCAACAGGTACCATTTATTTATAGTTTTTATGATGTGATTTGTTTTTCTCTAAGGCTGAGTATGAACTTGAAACTACACGCTCCCTTCTCGACACCAAAGCATGGGAACCATTGGCTGAAGAAGCCCCCAAGGGCCAATGGGCTTGGCCTGTAGCCTAATTTATAAATTTAAATTAGTTGTAGGTGGTTTCCGTAGCAAATAAATATGCTTAAACTGAGACATTACTTATCTCTTCATCAGACTTTAATGCGTAGTCAACTGACTCACAGAACGGTGGCATTCGCTGAAGAAGCAATTTAAAATAGTATCCAGTGTTTGATCAGGCTAGACTTTTACTCATTATTTTTTTGTCCTTTCTTCATTAAATTCGATATTAAAAAAAAATATTTAATTCTCTAATTAGCACCTTGTGATTAATTTGACTAGAACCAGATAACATATATCACTTACATCAGAGTGATAATATGTTAAAGTGAAATTGTATTAGTTAAATACTCTGAGAGTGAAAAGCATAACAAGTATGGAACAACTATACGCGTTGCGATGGCACAATAAAGATTAAAAAATCTCCATGAAAAAGGCAGCAATTTCGTTTGAAAAAACAACAATAAAATATAAGTAAAAAGCTGAAAAAAATAAAACGAGAACATTAAACGACCGGCGCATTAGAAGTGATTGCATGATTAGCTATCAAAAATTTCATTTGAATGAATTAATATTGTTTCCATGGCTCTTTGGTATTTGGACATCCCATTGGACATTTCGTCAAAGTTGTCGAAATTAGGCCTTCAATATGAGAATGTTCGAAGTAGTTGTATGTTTTCATACCTGAAGAAGGTTGGGAACCAAACTTTAGATAAATTGACCAAATCCATTGCTGTGGAAGGTGACGAGGCTACTTTATGTAAGTGACGGAAAAAATAACTTATAACTAGTAAATTCGCTGCAGGAAGACTGGCAAGGATATCTTTGTATTGATTTTCTATCTGAAAATAATTATGTTTAGAAACATAAAATCTTCAGGACCATACATCTGGAGAGCATAATGAGTTCAGAAGACTTTCGTGGAGATTGTAAGTTATTAATGGCTCAGGAAGGTTGGAAAAGAAATTTTTCACAGCTGTAGCTACTACATGAACGGGTAAGTTCAGAGATGTCAAGTCAAGGTCGCCCTTAAGAAATTAAAACAAAATATATCAAGTAATTACGGCGTTCGAACCTTATCCTTGAAATATTTTTCGAGTTCTAAAACTTGAGCTTGATTTCCAGGAACTCGATAAAGACCTTCCAATTCCAAGCCTCCTTCCTGAAAGAACATGATCAAGAAAGAACAGACTAAACTATTGTAGACACATTATTACTAAAGCTTTTCATATGCCAGCAGTAAGTCTATTCAGCTGCGTACATACAAACAATTTTAGTCCTTACCTGGTGATGAGGTCGTATCTCCTACAAATTCATACAAAATTCATACATTCAAGTTAGTAACATAAAAGCAAACAAGTTTTAATTACCTCTTCTATGAAATCCACACATCTTTTAAGAAAGATAGGGATATCTCCACCTTCACTGGTCAGAGAATGAATTGTGTCTGAAGGTGATCGTGTACACATACTAGTCTGCTAGAAATACTAATATTTTCGAGATTTTTTCTAAACAAAATACCTCGCTCGCCAAGCTTTTGGTGCTGCGCCGGGGCGAAATTGAAGGTAACCAAGAGAAAGCTCCAGAAGTCTTTTCGGTTCCTCCTGAAACATAACATGAAGAAACTAGTAGAAAACATTTTTCTTATATAATAAGTCACATAAGCGATGAAAACTCAGATAACAAGTTGATAAGGACAACTTACCACCACCATAAACATGTTTTTTCACCCGTCTTTCCGTGTGAGGACTTTGGGGAAGACTACGTGATGGCTGTGACTCAGGTACAGATAAACTTTTAGGATCATCGTCTTTGTCAGAATCATGCTCAGATAATTTCACTTCATTTTTCTTGAAGCGGAACGAAGTCGCCACTTTGCGAACAAATCTGCTTCCACCAAACTCTTTGTTTTTCTTCTTCTTCTCCAATAAAATATTGATGTCATTGAGAGATTCTGCGGATATGGATTGCCGAAGTGAAGACCTTACAGGCATTGATTGTCTAAGCTTCGCTACAGGATCACGACTTATAAAGCTAGCAGTAACAGATCTTGGAATATTGAAAGCTTTCACGCAAGGCTTGCTAGATCTCGGTAATTTTTCTGCTTGATTAGATGCGCTTTTCAAATTTGTAGGAGTGATGAGAATAGGCAATCGTTTTTCGGCAGACGATGAAGCAGGAATAAGCAGTAGTGGTGCAGTTCTTGAAGGCGTTTTTTCCACCGATGTATACGAGAACACTATAAGAACAACAACACAATAGGCGCATGCAAATGGACAGAAGTGAAACATACCTGATGAGCAAGGTTGTACTGATCCTGAGGAGTTGGATTGTGAAAACATCCACGATCTAATGTTCGACTAAAAGACACTCGATCAGAAAAATAAAGAAATAGAAACCCAACCTTTTTTTCTTTTTTATTCAGCAAAGCGTTGATATTATCATCTGGCTTTACTGGAGTTATGAAATCTGCAGTTGCATAAACGTTATCATCGTCCGTCAAAGCATCCTGAGTTTGACTATACTCTGGAGCCAATTCTACAGCTTCTGGCGTGGCGAGAGGAGCAACTTCAGCAGGCCTGATTCCTGGTATTTTCAAAGCCACATTCACAGGAGGAGGCCTCCGCCTGGGCTTGCTATTGTTACTTCTGAGCGAAATGTTCCATTATTGTGGGTTAATTATCAAGAACAACCCTGGTATGCTCGGAACTCCGGCTAATGATGATTGTGGTGACCCTGTAGCAATCTGAGATCGTGTCTCAGAATTCGAAGACATTGACATTTTCTGACAGTTAGTGATGACACTGGGTGCCGTACAGCTGACTGGAAACCAAATTATTATATGCTGAACATAAAACTTTTCCTACGGCTTTGAGCACTTGATTCTATTGAAATGTCGTCTTTGCTTGATTTAGGAGATCCAGCGAATGTGGCATAGCCGTCACTAATAAGAAAAGAAATCATAATGATAGTTGTTTTATAAATGATGGATAGAGCAATTTCAATATAGTTAAATGAGCCTATCGAGAAGACCATCATTGGAGAACATATATGAAAAGGTGACACAGTTCAACCACTTATGTTGATTGCTCGCGAAAAAAAGAAGTCGCAAGTGGATGACGTGATAAAATAAATTTTTGTTTTTAGCAAAAGCTTGTAGATCATTTATCCAAAAAAAAACAAACCTGTCTACTCTTGTTCGTTCATAATAATCGTCTCCAAAAGCAGGTATCATATCCTAGAAAACGCTAGTATGAGGAATGGAATTCGAAGTTTTCAATACCTTTAAACCAACTATGAATCTAAGGAAGTCTCTTGTAGTAGTCAAATCATTAGGTGAATCTGGATTGATCACTATGAAGGAGCAACCAACGCTGTGTGCGAGTTCGCTTGCCGATGTGAGAATAACGTTGGATCCCTGGAAAGTTATGACTAATGGCATGTGTTTTGGTAAGAAACATGTTCTGAGAAAAGGCATGACAAACATGGCCAAGTTTTCCTATGGAAATGGAAATGTATCACAAGTATTTCACTGAATCAACGCAGTTTGATATGGAAAGATAGATAGAAGATGTTACGCCACAAGTACTTCAGCTTTGAATCGCACTTACAGCAAGAACAAACGGTACACAGAGTGTCATCACTCGATAACGGAACAAGAGAGAAAAAGAGCAATAGAAAAGATTTTCTCTAGCGGATATGCTCACCAAACGTAATAAAGAATGTACAAAAAATTGGGATCAATATGCTTACCTCATCGTCACAATGGTCATGAATATCCGAAATAGCCACAAGAAGAATTGCTTTGCCGGGAACTGAGTATCTGCCATTATCAAGTACTTTAGTCAGAGCCGTTCGAGCAAACGCATAGGAAGCCGCCCGCCTTGAATTGTAACATGACTTACTTTGCAAGAATATTACTAAATACCTCGTGTAGAAAATGAAAATATGGCCGTGTATAGGAGCATTTGTTTTCGTGAAAAGCCAATTGTGGTATGAACCCAGAATAATGTCCACACGAGGGTTGCCCGTTTCTGAGCAAATATCAACCGGTATTATACCTGCTGTAAAGTGTACATTCAGACAATTTTCTCAAAACGAGCAGCCTTACCGCTTAATAGACTAGTGTTAACAAGTGGACGGATTTCGGCACTGTTAGGAGGGAACATGCATGATAAAAAAGATTCACAGTCCGGGGAATCTCCACACAAGATTGAAGCTCTCACTCTAAGGTCGCAGCGACGACAATCTAATTGGGAGGAACAAACGGTTTCACAAACTCTATACAACTGATCACGACTGAAATGGATATGTTAAATAGTTTTTCTTATTGTCCTCCTGACCCGAAAATACTACTACAATCACTGGCTCTACTACAACTACTGTCATTCGATTCGGCTGAACCTGCTCCAATGAAAATACCATCAGCTTCCTGAGCTAGATCATATCCCTAAGAGGAGTAGTGTGAAAAGTGATAGTTTACCGCAACAAACCTGCTGATGCATAGTAGGTAGAAGATCATAATGCCCTGGATCACAAACAAGAACAAAAATTGGGGGTAAGTTTGATGTTAAGTCCTTTCTGTTCAAATAGTAAGCTCTATGATCTTCAATACATTGTGGAGTATCTAAATTGACATTGTTACATTAGGTTGTCAGAGTTATGAGAACCTAATAAGTACAACTGGGTTCGAGTCATCCCAACACTCTCAGACTCTTCAGGACCAAAACATCGAATATTTGCATACCCACTAGCACAAAGAAACGGTTCATTCCGGAGCAAGCGCTGTAAAATAACAAAAATAAAGGAAAATGATAACAGAAACTTACATTCAAATCAGTTATAAACTGCGCTACAAGAGGCATGTCGCCATGAACAGTGATATCAACTAAATGTATATTGGACTCATTAGCTTTCTGCCTTCTGTAACACATATAGACTTTGGATACAATCAGAGCTATAAGTTACTTTTGAAAGAACAAGTCTATCAATTCTAAAAGCATCACATCCGAGCACTTCGTTCGTGATGCACATTGCGCTGACGAAGGATTCAACATAAAAGATATGAATTGATGGATCATACTATCCCGTACTTTGAACATTCGAGACAATAAACGAAATCTGTAATATAAATTCTGAGTTGAAATGTACCCTGCAGCTATACCTATTGTCTTCTTGTAAATAGTCTTTAATCCTGTTGAAATGAGTCTCCGATACCATTCCAGCGTTAACGCATTTCTTGCTTTTTAAACTCTATGAATATATAAGAGTACATACAAAGGAATTGCTTACCTCAATGAATAATTCTATATGCTCATGTAAACACTCTGAAAACTCCTTCTCTGCTCTCTTCTTCAGTATATTCTGAAATTAATACAATCACTGTGGGTTTTAACTATCGATATATACTTGGTAGCGATCATATATAAGAGTTGTTTGAGCTGGAGCCAAAAGCTTGTAAGCATCATATTCCTAGCAAAGAAAAGAGTTTGTATCAAATCTGATGAAATAACAAACTTGCAGAAAAATGCAAACTTCCTGGAGAGGTTTTCCAGGAGTAACCTGGGGACACTCCTGTAAGATAGCTTCGAAATCTTCTTCTAATCGCTCTTTTCGAAACTCCATTTCCACTTTCTTTTGATAATCATCAAACGCTACTCTAGTCTCTTTCCGTAATAGAATTTCGGCAGGAATCCGACTATCAGCTATCGGGTCTTCGTAAGGATTTTCAGACGAAAGAGGATCAAGATTTTTGCCTAAACGAGGAGAAGCATATTCAATAGAAAGTTAAAGTATGTACCTAAAGTCCCGAGAGGCTGAAAATGCTCATCGAACAACGCATGTGAATGGATTATTTGCTTCGCTTCATTCCATGTTAGATCGGGAACAGAAGAGCGATCCAGCAGAGCATCGAAAACTCTCGGTAGTTCGGATTGAAGTTTCTCCAGTCTATATTTATATTTATATACATATAATACTCAACCACGCTTCAATCGAACCTATAAGCCATCCAGAAATCTCGAGCCTCATTCACATGAATGTCATACATTTTTTTAGCAGCACCAACTCCATAAGTATGTACGAAATCACAATAAACAGAGTGGTGATCAAGATTCATGGTTCGAATGAAACTGAAATGCAATAAGATTTCAAATTTCCTTGAAAAAATAACGCTTGCAACCGCTTCCCACGCGTTGAAACGCGAAAATGAGAAAGCAGCCTGCAGAATATTTTATGCTAATTTACCTGCTCCAAGATAACCGGAGACGAGGCCAGTCTTTTTTTGGCAGGAGACAATTCAGGAGATTACTAAAAGCTTCTCTAGAAGCAAGATAAGTAAGTATATGTTCTGTAGAATGTTTACATTACCTTTTATCCAAATTTAACCGTCTATTAATCTTCTCAGTCTCATAATAGGATTGCAACTTTAACCTCGCTTTGGCTTTAAATACATTACTTACAGCGAATGAAAAAAGTTCGTCAACGTTGACGTTAGTAAAAGCAGATGTTTCAACCTATATTTCAATAAAATAAATGGAATGTCGTAACAACAAATGAACTCACAATTGGTAAATGGGCTCCTCTAAGCTCTTTTTTGGTTAATAAATTTTGAAGTGCCCTTTTACAATCCTCGTCATAAATATCACATTTGGTTACTGCTATAACAACGGGCTTTTTCGTCTTCAAAGCTTGAGTCAAGAGTATATGAGAAGCATTAACTTGACTGCGAAAAATAATATAATCATGAGTTGAGACATGGTTTACTTACTTATCGAAAGATCTATCATTCTTGCTTGAATCGAAAACATAAATAAAACAATCAACAGTACATTTCCCTTCAGGCAATATGTTCTGAGGGAACTCGGTTTCTAGTCCAAGTTGCTCCTGAAAATTAAGAATCTCAATTTATTGAAGAAGTATATTTCAAATACTTTTCGTATATACATAAGTTTATCCCTGCTCTCTAGTTTTGTACGAACAGCTCTTTTGTTATAAGGCTCTGCTGTGGAAGAACCTGCTAGTGTATCGAATGTTTCATCATCAAGAAACTCTGAACAAGGAAATTATATCAGAAACTGAAACTAGTGATGCAGACCAGTTTGCTCTATGATTCGAACATTAACTTTGGAGGCTCCATCATCATTATCTACATATCGTTCACCCCAATACAGCCAATGATCATTATTTATTACTGGTGAACCACCAAAGTCCGTCTGAAGAAGTGTAGTTTGTTGTACTCTTCGAGAAAGTAATCACCTGTGAGAGAACTGAAGAATGATCGATAATGAAGTCATCATAGCAACTTCGAATAAAGCGATTACACAGAGCTGACTTGCCAACACCCTGAACAATCAAGCAATGATAAACTAATAGAAAATGGAGTAAATACTTCGGTTCCTTTAATACTTTCTTTCCCACTGACTCCTATAACAGATATTGTGACAGTACGTTGAGACATCGAAAAACATTTGGTCGGATGTCACCTAACACGTGTCTAAACAGAATAAAATCATGAAGTAGCAAATTGAAGAAGAAACGATAATTTGAGCAAATAAAAATAAGTGAAATAAAGGTCACTTGAAGAAAGTACTCGGACATGCTTAACTAACGGTTGGGATCAGAATATGAAAAGAGAAGAGAGCTTGTTGTTCCCAACGAAAGTTCATTTTAAAGCTCAACTCATCAGCTGAGAGCATTTTGTATCCAAAATAAACGGTTGTAAAGTAGGTCATAATAAACACCTTCTTGCCAGTTTTCAGTTGAAAGACAATGAAGACAAAACGGAAATAGCATAATGTCCATTATGAATTTTTTTCATTTAAAACTTTTGGAAACTCGGCTTCAACTTAAAATTAATGACAATGGTTAAGGTGTAATATTTGGAGAAAGAGAGAGAAAGATTGAAACACACAAAGAGTAGTGAATAGCCACAGCGAGGTTGTCTTGTCAGCATCCGAGAATAAATCAAATCCAAGAGGGATGTAAACCCAGCAATACTATGACATTCGTCGTTGAAAGAACACTAATTGACACCAAACGAGGATAACCCCTGACTAAAGACCGCATGTTAGTCAGTTTGTATTGGGCACGAAGATGTGGGACTAAGCTAAACGAGGCCATCAAATATGGCTCAAATTATGCCTTCAAAAATGAAGTTTTAGAATATTGATGAAGATAAAATAAAAAAAAACTGTATTATCTCATTTGAACATGAGAAATGCGTATTCAACAAACAATAGAAAAACAAATTTGAACATACTGCCTGATATGTAAATAAAAGAAAAAACATTACTGAACCACAACGATATCAGTCCAAAAAAAAAGGAAGAAGGAAATCATAGAGCTTATGCCAGACAGATACACAGTATATCAGGGCATGAAGCTAAATTTAGAAGAATATTTAAGGATGTTAATGTCGTGATGAGCCTGCGTTTTTTTTTTAGTTCAACAAGCTTCTCTGCTGTCTCAGCTTGATTATAAAAGGAAGTTGGTATGCAAGAGGACAAGAGATCGATGTGTCCACACATAATGTAAGAAGAATGAAATGCGAAAGCCGCATGGAAAAAGAGAAACATACAAGGCGGAATGAAGAAAGCATAGACCAGGATCTATGAGTGAAAAGACAGCGAGTTTAGTTGGTCACACGGTGAATATCTTCAACGGTTTCGATGTGAATATTTCAACTTATCTCTATCCACTTCATACATTCAATTGGATCTTTTATCTCTTCTCTCCTTCATCTCATTCCTCTCTTCATCTTTCAGTATTCGGTATTTCATTCTTCCTTCCTCAACCACATGTAAAGTTATCCCATGTATAATCTCATCTATGAAATGATGATGTCCCCCCCTGTTGTGTTTCTTTTCTTTTCCGGTTCAGACAGGCCGTGTCAAACGGATATTTCAAATAATTCCGATAAGATAACATTTTCTAACAGTAAAAATGGGAGTAAAAATGTAAAAATTGAGAAACATAAAAGGTTCACATAAACATTTAATGAACAAATTGTCCGTTCTAATAGATGAGTATCATTGTTGATAAGCGTCACATAATTATCAGAGCGTTATTAAAGTCAAATCTTCCGTTTCCCATCCTCTAATATACACTCAATAACATTCAAATATTATTTCGCAACAAAAATTTCAACTTTTATGATAAGTCATGTCAATAAACTTGATGAAGAGTTGTTGGCTGGCGCATTTGGGTGCATATACATATCCCAACAACGAAAAGACATTGAAACACATATAAAATACAGACATATTGGGCCATTAGTCTCATATTATAATGAAGATGACTACTCATTACGATTCACTTCATTCTTATTTTACTATTTAAAATATAATGAAACATGGACATTATCTAGCAGCTGCATCTTATAATAACAAAAAGAAAATAAAAAAGACTTATTATGAGGCTAGCTAAGCAACCAAATTGAAAAAAAAAGAAGTGTGGGGGGGATGACAATCAAGCGAACTTGAGAATGCAACCGCTCACTGCGAATAAAAAGTTAAAATGACTCTTAACCTATGCACTCTACACACATACACGTACACATCTCATTAGCATAAAATATTATAATTGATGGTATTGATGGATGAAATCGATAATACCCACTTGTAATTGAATAACAATTGGGAAGACAAAAAAAAAGAATCCAAATAGTTTATTGATTGATATGCAACACAACTTTCTTAAATTGAATGAAAAAAATTTTTTTTTATTTGTCATTCTAACTGCAATTTGAAATACAAAAAAATTGGGCAGCTGAGTAATCATAACTTACCGTCGTTCAGTCCTTCTGGTTCAATATTATTTATAAATTGATTTATCATTCTTCTTAATTTTCTATCCATCAGATGATTAGAATGAGCTCAACAAACTTAATATCAAGAACTTAATTGTAAATCAAACATAAACTGAAAACACAATCGATTTGGGCATCCGTGGGAAACTACAACAATCAATACTTTTTTTTTTTTTAGTTTATTTTTACATCAAATATTTAGATGAAATGGAAGAAAAAGTTGTCGAACGAGTCAGTATACTTACTTGGCCAATTGAATTCTTGATGTCCTTCCGTAGATAAGAGCATGACGAAAGTCGGAACAACAGAAGAATGAAGAAGGAACAAGACCCACTCGATCTAATTTTAAGAAACACTCAATACCTGCGAGCTATGAAAAATGTATATTTATATATATGTATATGCATTCATATAGTTAAGGAGTCTTATCATGGCTTCATATAATTAGCTTTATCAGTTGAGTTTGATTGCTCTATTATCAATCAATTTAAAAGGGACAGCCGGATTCAAAGTGAAACTTTCGAGTAGAATTCCCAAATTCAACAGTTTATTATTTGCAGATGCAGAAGTCTACAATTCTTCTATGTGTACTTGCGGTAGCTTTCACAGCTAGCCAAGTAACTGGTAAACTTCTTATTGGGTTAATTCTGTAATGAAACATATTTGAGCTGTCAACCAATGTGATGAGTTCTGGACTTATTTCCAAATGACCAACTCCTGCTACTGGGTAATTAGGATTATAATTCTCTTTCATATTTTGATAAAGGCTGGTGATGGACTTGACTTCGATGCTGCTGAAGCAAGTTGTGTAAACTTAGGTGGTCATTTGGCTTCCATTCACAACAGTTTTGAAAACGGTTTCGTCGCGAGTAAGTTTTCATTCAATGTTCAGAGCACATAATCGCTTTTCAGCTTTGACTGAAACTGGTGAAAGACAGAAAGATGATCAGATGACCTGGATTGGACTTCACTTTGCGGTAATTATCATTGAAAAGGCTTGTCTGATGATTTTCAATTAGGGCAACAACTGGCAATGGACAGATGGCACAAACAGTGCTTATCAACAGTGGATCAGAGGGGATCCAAAAAATGTAAAGAAAGACGATTGTGTTAGCGTAAGTTCTTATTGCCATATTGAAAAAAGCATGAAGCACTTGACTCGGAGCTTCAAAAAAACAGTCAATTACTGTTATCTGAAACATTTTTTAGATTCTTCAAGATGATTTGGGATCCCACAAGAATACAAAGGGAGAATGGCACAACGTTGAGTGCAATGTTCGTATGCGTAAATTTGTTTGCAAAAAGAATGCTAATTACTGAGAATAAAAAAATACGATTAATCCACTCATTGATTTTTGTTATTTTTGTAAGAAACAATTGAATACAAAGTTTGTCATATGAAAAATTAAAATACATTCTGATGCTTCACGAAAACATTTGACAACATCGTATTCCGTCTGATCGATTATGGTAATCATAAGAAACAAATTATTGGATGACAGGTGAAAAACTCAGGTTCAGAAAGCTGAAAGATTGAAGTTGTTTCAACATGAAACTATCTGAGACTTACATATGTAGAGGACTTCATGCTTGAATGTTTTGCTCCTGATTAGTTATGTTGTAGGAACTATTTCGATATTCCATTCTTCTCACTGACTTTCATTTTTGTCAGACTCATGTTAAATTAAATGATTTTCATTCATTTACTAATGGTTATAATAACATATAACGAAAAACTGAAAACACTTCACCTTCAACCATTGGAGAATACCATAATGGGATATAATCGTAGAATCCACTTCAAGTATGAAGTTTCACGAGGCCAGAAACAGTTTTTTATCAATCCGTTTGTTTGGTAAATAAATTCTGTTAATCTATCAAAAACAACGTCTCTTGTCAATCCAATCGAAACTGACCTGTAAAATATTAAATAGACTAGCGTCTTCAGTATGGTAAAGTAAGGAACATCCTGAGTCATCTGCGAGCACCCAAAACCAAGAATCTGTCAATCATTGCTTGGTAAATTAATATGAGCAAGATGCTTGACCACAACTAGGTTTGGTAAGAATGTACATGAAATCGTCGAACAATACTACCATACACTAACATAAGAAAGCTGTTAAGTTAATAAAACAAAGTTGTTCCTTCAGCAAACAAAGTTAGTACAGTGATACTAGAAATATGAACAAGATAGCATTCTCCCCCTCAATCAAACAGTACCAATAATAATCTGAATTGAAACATTTACCTCAATGCTCAATCTAATTACAAGAAACAGCGGTATATAGTGATATCACTGTCTTCGTTAATCAAAGCTTTTCGAAAGTTATTTTGGTAAGCTTACCGATCTGATACCCAACCATTATCCAACTTTTTCATTTTCAATCAATTACCGAATAAGCATACAGCGAATAGCTTTGTTTTAGAAGTTCGTTCAATTTATTAACATAGCTAACTAGCCAAATATTTTTTTTGGAGTCTTTTAATCCCAAAGCTAAAACTATATTCCTTCGTTTTTAAAACAGCTCTCTCGAAATTGCGTAAACTTGCTGAGGTTAAGAGTTTCGGATGAAGTTGTGTTCTCTGTCTTTCGCCACGAAAAATGCCGTCACAATTATTCGAACATCTAATAGATTAATTACCAATCTAGTTGAATTATTAAAAAACGACTAAATGTTCAAATATTATTTCATTCAAAATTCTGTTTAGTCAAACAGCGCTTGTGGTATGAAAAGCGAGACATGTATAGATCAAGTTCAATGCATCTTGCTTATGAGTTACAAGTCGTATAATCTAACATTATGATTTTAGCACAGTCTCTCGAATTATTCTCATACATTATTCTTTTAAGCATAATCTATTCGATCAAACTTATATTCCTTTTCCGTGTAACACACAGAGCTTAGAAGTCGCCTGACACCGACACCTCTGAATAGTTTTCTTTTCAACGCTATATTCGTATTACCAACCTAATGAACTAAATGAAGAGTAAAACTATTCGAATTAGAAAATAAACAGATTGTTTGGTCTTGAAGTCTCTCGCTTGATTTGCTTTGATCTGCAAAAGATATTCTAATAACAAGAAAACGATTCAGAAATAACTCATCTATCGTCTGAAAAAATGATGTTGTAATTACTGTTATTATAATATTCATTTTGGATGTGGGATAATCCAATTTATTTTTATGCTGCCGTTGGTTATGTTGTAGAAATTTACAGTATTTTCTTCATTTATGTTATTCTAACACAATCCAGTAAGGATATCGGTTTGTATAAATGGGCTGTTCTCAAGCTAGCGGTATGTTTTGATTCAATATGCGGTTAAAGCTCAGTTCCCATAGATTTCTGAAACATTTTTCTCGTTCGTTTTAATCAATGTTGTATCACCGGATGTGTTTATACCTCCTCCAGCCGCTTGCTGTAGAGGATGGCTAACATCTACTCAAGGAACATGTAAAATAGGAGTGCGAAATGACATACGATGAGAAAACTACTTTACTCCTTAAGGTTATGATGAGTTTCATGGCGCCTACAATATGTTTCGCTTCTGTTAATGATTGTTCCTTTCTTCGCCTTTTCCTTTTGAACAATGATCAAACTAAAATTGATTTTTTTTTCAGCTGGAAGTTAGTTTTTGAACTTTTTGTTGACCAAATTCGTTTTTTCTAGAGGTGGGTTGTTGTTATTAGTGGTCCACGTGGTGCTTTGTGCGGCAATTGGATCAGTCACGATGCTATCCATGACCGATGGGAAGGTATTTCTCAAAGTTTGGGTGAGATTCTGATAAAACGATCAAAATAGGAATTACGAGGCTATCTTGATTCTATGGGTGGCAGAAATTCGTTGGGGAGCTACGTGAATGCCACAGAGTACCCGGTAGTAGCCTTTCTTCCAACAAATATATTCTACTACATAACTTGTGATTCAAGCTTTACAAACGTTAAACATGGAGACAGTTTCAGTACTAGTTCTATTTGTCGGTTTCATATCCTTTACCACTGTTAATGCCACCATTGCGTATAAATGTTGGAGGAGAATCAACGAAGGGTCAAGATCTATGTCAAAGAAAACACGAAATTTGCAATGGAACTTCACGTACATGCTCATTGTTCAGGTAAAAAATCAAAATGATTTGTTTTGAATGTAAATAACTGAAGACTGTATATCCACCTATTGCCATATGCATACCGTGCATGATATGTTGTGCTCTATTGGTTTTCTCATCAGGGCTGCCAGACTTGTCAAAACTTCTGCTATTAACTACGCTACTGATATTACTCTATCCTCTCATATCAGCTTCATGTTGCATTTACTTTATCGGTCCATATAAGAAGTACATCATGAGAATAACTCGTATAGACAGACTACTGAGAAGGATGAACTATTCGCAAAATAAGAACACACTGACCCAAGTGTCTTCTATCTCTCGTGAAAATATTTGATGACGTCCAAATGAACATAATGTATCTGAATAATAAAATGCGTCAATGTGACTAGTTTAATCAGATTATGTGAATATGTATCAACTTTACCGTACATGGAAAACGTTACACCTTACTTTGTTACTAAAAATGAAGTTTCTATTTAGTTTTCTCCATTACAAATACAAGCAGCTGCTTCAAGCTGAATTGAAGAAGCTTATCGCCTGTAAACAGGTTAGAATTTGTTTCTAATGATGAATGATTTTTTTCGAAAGCCTTCTTCTCATTTGCTCAGTTACCTAAGTTTCTCTTTCTCTCTCTCACACTCTTTCAGTCTCTCTCTGTCTATTTCTTTCTTCCTATCTCTGTTTTTACTTTTCTTTTTTTTGTCCCATACATGGAGAACCTCCTACTGACATTCAGCGAATTTGACATGAAACCCGTGTTTGTTGATAGACGACAATCACATGAAATCCATTTGATCAACATGGAAAACTGGCCTTTTCACCTTTAGGAACATTGAAAAGCATTCTCGCTAATTGTCTGATCAGTTTCTGAAACGGAAATTGAATTTTTCTCTTATTTTTTCTGTGCCAATTTTGAAGTTTCGTTCATTCATTCACCTTTTTATCAACTAATCACTAATCAAATACAAGTGTTTTGTGTGTTTATTTGAGAAACATTCGTTTGAAAGCTTTGTTTTTCTTAAAAATTAAGGAAAGAAATACATGTGCTTTTGATATCTTTCGTGAAAACAATGAGTGCAGTCACACTCCGCTTACAAACCAGTGACAATCATGTTTCATCAATTCTCTTGTCGTCTTGTGTATTCTTGATGATTTCCTTTTTTTTCCCGAACTTCATTCAATCATTTTCAAATCTTTTAACATCTATTATATATAATAATAAATAATAATTAAATAATATTTGTTTTCACTTTTACATCTTTTATTATGTACATGTTACTTTAACACATTGATTTTTGACATCCACATTTCTCAATCCTCCTTCTATCATTTCATTCTGTGATTCTTCATTTTGCTCTTCATTACAGACTACAATTTATACCAATTTCCTATGAATTAAACAAACCATAATGGCTTGGAAAGAAGATTTGTTGCGTTTTTGTCGAGACAATGTGCTCTTTGTCATGACCATGACAAGCGTTGTTCTCGGAGTTGTATTGGGCTTCAGCCTTCGACCTCTTAACCTATCTGCTGAAACTCTGCAACTCATCAACTTTCCGGGTGAAATATTCATGCAAGTCTTAAAAATGATGATATTGCCTCTGATTTTCTCATCATTGATCTCAGGTATTTATATTAATAACAATCATTTTAATGTAATATCAACAAATCGAAGATTATTTCAGCTCTGGCTCAGATGGATGCCAAAGAATCTGGTCAAATGGGTATTGCTACTGTCTTATACTATTTAGTTACTACTGTATTAGCCACATTAGTATGCTCTGTTTCTTTATTACATTTCTATAACTGGATTAATGTTTAAGCTTGGAATATTTTTGGTGATGACAATTCATCCGGGTGATCCTTCTGTCAAATCTAATCAGCTTCATGACATTCCTAATGATACAGATGTGTCACCTTTAGATACGTTCTTAGATCTTATCAGGTAGAAAATTGTTATGAAAAACTTATGATAATTGTTTTTCTATAGAAATATGTTTCCGGAAAATATAATTCAAGCAACTTTTGAAAGAATGCAAACAACCTATGTTCTCCACAAACCGAATGTGGCGAAGAATGGAACAGGCAGCGAAATTTCAATTATGAGAAAAACAATAACAAACACACGAGGAATGAACATCTTAGGTTTGAAATGTATATAGCTCAATTCATCAATTTTTCTAAGGAATTATTGTGTTCTGTACTGGTTTTGGTATTGTAATTTCACAGCTTGGAGAAAGAGCCAAAATAGTCGTTGACTTCTTCGTTATCTTGGATGCCGTAATTATGAGATGGGTTGAAACTCTGATGTGGTTAGTTATTCTAACTCACTATCGCACAGTTTGAAATTGTTTGAAGGTTTGCTCCTCTTGGTATCACCTGCCTCATTTGTGGAAACTTATTGGAACTTGATGATCTATCAGATACAGCCGCGGTTCTGTTCTTGTAAGTAAACTATACACTGCTTAGAAATCATAATATGCGTTCTAGATATACCATCACAGTTATTGCTGGTCTCATAATCCATGCCTTTTTAACGGTTCCAGTTTTATACTTCTTGATCACAAGAAAAAATCCAATGACAATTGTACGTGGAATGTTATCCGCCACCGTTACAGCGTTCGGAACTGCTTCTGGGTATTAAACTTCCAAGTTGAGAACTGTTATTTCATGTTTCAGTGGAGCAGCTTTGCCTGTTTCTATGCAATGTATGGAAGAGAACTGTAGAATTGACAGAAGAATTGTTCGTTTCGTTCTACCTCTTGGCTCGACCATAAACATGGTCAGTGTATTTGCCTTTATAATTTTTCTTCACAACCGTTCTGGGAGTCTAACATGCTTGAATGACGCAGGCATTGCAAGAGATTGACGTATTTCACGTGAATTCCACATAAACCGAAGATTATGCAAATTAGTTACCATAAATCAATCGATGTATTATTCTAGGATGGAAACGCTCTGTACGAAGCGGTCGCTGTAATATTCATTGCTCAATTAAACAATGTGGACTTAAGTATAGCGGAAGTTGTTACCGTCAGGTCTGATGTTCGTCGAAAACTTAAAAGACAAATTAATACTTATAGTGTAACAGCTACCCTTGCTTCAATTGGATTAGGGTCTGTACCAGCCGGTCTTGTGTCAATTCTTCTAATTCTGAACACTGTTGGCTTACCTGTGAAAGATGTTTCTCTCTTACTCACAGTTGATTGGCTATTGTAACAAAAAAATGAAAAAATATAAGAGAAATAACAGTTAACAACTTGTAGAGATCGAATTCGAACAGCAATCAACGTGTTGGGAGACGGCTTTGCAGCAGGAGTGGTTTCTTCCATTTTAGAGGTAACTAAAACGAGTCCCAAAAATGGATGTAATATTAATTCAGCGCCAACTGGAAGAATCTGATGCAAGAAATGAGTTTCGTACTGAGATCAAAGAAGAAATAGGTTGAAAATACAAAAAAAAACTTTCTAATCATGAAGGGACTTTACAGAACTTCTGAAATCGGCAGCCAACAGTCGAAGACCATCATTCACATTATCAGAAAATTCACGAGAAGTATATGATTTCAAAATAATTATTTTTACACATAATATAATTCAAAGGCATATTTCAATGCATTGGCAACAGCAGCCAACTCGACAGCACCATCACGTCGTGGATCAATCGGTGGCTTTAATTTAACATGGAGAAGTACTCTGATAGAACCTGGATATGCACAGCTACCGAAAGTTCAAGATGTATAAACCTATATTTAGGAAATATTCTAATATTCTGACGTCTATCTTCTAAAGATAATATCAATCAAGAGAAAAAAAATATATTTATTGTTCGTTTATGAAGCTTTACTTCTCTTTTTGTCATACTGTATCTATAAACGATGATTCATAAATATTTTGTTTTATTTATAAAAGACCGCCAAATTTGGAATTGACAATCAATCAATATTAGGTGACATAACAGATTAACACATCATATATATCATTATTAATTTTATTTTTTTGAAAATTTCTAAATTGGCTTAAATATGGTTCAAAGTATGATGAAGCATCAGTTGATTAAATCATGCTCTGGTGGATTGTTACCTTCTTCAACTTTACGAAAATTCGAAAATGATTGTAATTCAGATTCGGTTAGTTACAGATTACATTTTGATCTCACTTTCCATATTGTTTAGATGGTTGGAGAAGTTATGACATTCAAGGAACGATCTTTGGTAATTCAGAAAAAGATTGCTACAGGATCGTTTTCTAAAGTATTTCGTTTATTATATTCATATAGTTAGTGAAGAAGCTTTCAGATATACAAAGGAGCTGTATCGATTAAATCACCTGGATTTGCTTTGAAGTTTTTGTTGAATAAATCTACGAAGGATAAGAAGCGAGTAGCTCTAGAAGTAAGAGTTTGTCTGAGTTATGTACAAGCTGATTTACCATAGATGGAAGCAATAAGAAATATCAGTAAGAAGCCTTCATATAGAAATCATTTTCCACGATTCATCTCTGTGACATCTTTCAATGATTTTAAATGTATAATTATGGAGAGGATGAACACAAATCTTCGTTTCTATATGGCAAGTAATCGTCGACGTTTATTCAAACTCAAGGATATCCGACAGATTTCTAAACAGGTGAGATGAACTCTTCAACGACGGTGATATAGAGATGTTTACTTCAGCTTTTATCTGCTATTGTTTATCTTCATAATATGGAATATATTCACACTAATATAAAACCGGAAAATATCATGATTGTTGACGTCAAAACTTCTCCCATCCAAATCAAAGTTTGATATTTGAATCGGACTAAATGCTCATTTTCTTAATTCAAGTTATGTGGGTTTGGACATTCCATGACAACGTCTAGTGCTTTATCTTCTACTGGAAAGCAGATCCAACCCCTTCATTACAGGTGTCTCAGTTATTCCCTCTCATCGTTAACGTTTCTTTTTAGATCTCCAGAGATTCTGTTCGGTTTACCATTTTGCGATTCAATCGATATTTGGTCAATTGGATGTATCTTAGCTGAGTTATATATTGGATCCGTACTCTACTCCGGAAAAACAGAAGCTCAGATGGTTAAGTAAGTAGCGATGTCTCGACTCTCCTTATACTCTTTTTCAAGGTATATAGCTGAAACGCAAGGGTTTCCCTCTCACTTGGAACAGTCAAAGTATTGGTCGCATTATGTTGTCCCCGCTGATTCTGTAGATTTTCATTACCAAACTTTAACCATGACAATCAATGTTTAGGAGGAGATGGAAAAACATCGAAGATGCTATCGGTTAAAAACTGATTCTGAATTTCGGGAAAGCGGAATGAATCCTATAAAAGACGATCGTCTGAATCCTGTTAGAGATTTGAATCAAATCGTTTATGTAATAATTAAGTTGAGTAAGACTAAGATGAAGAAAATTTAATTTACAGAGAGGTTATAACCAACTGTACGAGCATAGGATGAGAGAATCTGACCGGTTGTTTGCTAGCTTTCTCACGCGTTTACTTGATTTGTCTTCCCTTCGACGCATCACAGCCAAAGCTGCGATAGAGGATGGATTTATAAAGAAAATAGAAAGGTAATACTGATTATTAGACTATATTAAATAATATTATTTCAGTGATTATAAAATGATACCAACTGTTGAACTTTAAAACGTCAAAGAAACATTAAATGATATAAGAAAGTAATTAAACGATTAACTATAAAATAGTTACTTATATTGTATAATGTATGAAAAGAAAAAGAAAAAGAAGCTATTTTTGCGGGAAATAATATGTTTTAATAAAAATTATATTTATGCTTTTGAATATGAAGTGTACTCATCATTGCTTATCTTATGTGTCACACATTCGTCTAGAAACAACCGTTCTGCACTGCTTCAGCTATGCGAATGGAACATCACATAGTCTAAACTCACGTGAATATTACACGTGGCACTTATGTTTCAAGTGAAAGAAGAAAAGAAAATATGGCTTTTGTCAATATTCGAGATATTCCACTCCAAGTTGAAGTATTGTAAACAAAAAGTGAATTATCTTTCTAATATGGTTACCTGAGACAAGGGATTCAAAAAAATCGAATAATTCTCTGAGTTTTGTATAAGCGATTATCTAATTTTTTTTGCAGGTTTTTATAATTAGAGAATTATTCAATTGTCTAAATAAAGGTTGGTACTGACTTCTGAGTGTCTCCGCATCACGTCCTCACGGGCTTCGAGTGGCTATTTGGCGGTTCAAACCATATTGTGCTCATTGGAAGATTAATCATTATGTAATTGTATTAGAAAAAATGTTTTTTCTTTGCGAATTCTCATTTTCCTGTATTATTAAAATAGATCTAGTGCTAGTTGGCTTTCAATGTTTTTTATGTTGATAAGAAATCGTTTGACGTGGCTAATTCGAATGTGCACGACGACGTCGACATTCTGTTTGCCTGCTGTCATTCAGACTTCATTGGACAGTTATCCATCCGTTACAGATGCTTTGATTATAGTTTATTGAGTGCACCTTCGATCATTTATAACTCTTTTTCTCTCAACAGCAAACTTCTTGGCGTAAAATGTGTTTTATTCTTTATTTCTCAGTTTTCAGCCATGCCATGGAAGCCTATCTACTTGGTTCCTAGCGAAAATGGAAATAACCTCTTATTTTCGCGATCATCTCTTCCGAACACCACTCCTGTATTCTTTCTTCGACCTTATGAAGCAACATACGAGGATTTGCAAATCGTACCTAATCCATGGCTGCCCCCACAGCATTTATATAAGAGTTTACTCTCTATTTCACCAACTGGATCTGAAAAATCTGAAAAACGCAAAGATGCTCAGACGTAAGTTAAATAAAATCTCCAATCATGTCATATGATTACTTGTTTACTGTATTTTCCAAGCTATTTTTTTGTTGAAAAACACAATGGCTACCGTTATGGAGCTGGAGCGTACAGTCCGGTCCTCAGATTTGTTTCTCTTCATATCCTGAGCACTTCTTCTTCGTCTTCATCATCATCATCTTCTTCTTCTTCGTCGTGTTTGTTCACCCGTTCTTCGGCTTCTTTATCCTATCGTCGTTCTTTTGGATATTTTCTTGCTCTGTTCCGATTGTAGCGATTGCCGACTCATTTGCGTCTGAAAATTTTTGGTCAGACGCTCTTGATAATAGCTACGAGAAGCTATGACGATGATATTGACAATAAATAGAAAACGAAGAAGAAAAGAAGAAGCGAAACCCTTAAGATTATTGTTTTTTCCTTATTTTTTCTTCTGTGAAGACGGTTTGTCTTATTTGATCTGCCGTTTCGCCAGATGACTATAGGCTTTTGCCACATATCTGAAGCTTCTTTTCGAAAACTTCAGCGTCATTTGAAAGCTTCAGCGATTGATTTTATTGAAAACACAGAAAGTTCTCAATATTTCACATTGTCTTTACTCAATGATTTTAGTTCAATATCGTTTCCGACGAATGGCTCAATTCATCTTTTGTTTGATTTGCTTTCTGCCTCCCAAAATTTTTTTCTCTCTTCCCCACTGAATGCTTGAAACCTGGTCAATCCATGACTGTGATTTTGCTTCTCTCATCTTTGATTTTTTTACGCTTTTCGCTTTGATTTTGACATCTTCTTGTGTAGAGTTTGAACTTCTTGATCCTCTGAAGTCACTCAGTATCCTTGTCAAGTTGTTCAAGCTCACGTAACTTATAATCGTAAATTATTATTTGCTATTCTCAACAAAAAAACAATTTTTTTCTCATTTTTTTCACTTTTCAGTTAAATTATGTATTTTCAGTTCTTTCTCAATGTTGAAACACCTGCGAAAGCCTCAACATCATACCAGGTAAGAACTATTTTCCAAACATTCCTTCCAAATATGAGAAACCGAAAAGAAAATTTTATTTTTTCTTTCTCTTTCTAGGAAATGAAAGTAATTAATTAACCAAATTTCCAACCATATTTTACCCAAATATTGCATTGAAATCTCAGTTTGACCTTGTCCATTTGCCATTTCCGTGACACTTAACGGGGTAAACGCCCTCCGTAGATGTTCATGTTGTATTGAATTAAAATATTCTTTTATCTAATATTTCTATTAAAATAACAATTATATATGAAGAGGTTGTCATTATGGATGAAACAATAACTTAAAACAAGTCATTTTTATAACATTTAAATATGTTTTAAAATATAAAATTATCTGTAATTAATATCCTCATTTGTCCTTGCTCTGATTCTGACATTAGAAACTGGTTTGAATCAAAAAGACATCTGAGAATTTTCATTCAATAATTCCTTTTTAACTTTTAATCGAATTGTTTCTACATACATACATACATACACATACACATAGACAGATATTTGTGAAAAATCATTGAAACCAAACATTTTTGATCAAAAAGGATATGTGTCCTTGTTCACATCTTGTTCTTCATTTATATCCAGCTTCTTCTTGTTAGCCTCTATTAAATGCCTTTTTCTCATCAAGATTATATGCGTATCTCATTTTTCATATTTATATTATATATATATCAAAAATAAAAGGAAAATATTTCTGAAATGAGGTTATTCACAGATAATGTGCAAGGTAAGGTCAGAGATAACTGTACTAGGTCATATATTATAAATAAAAAATACTTTCTTTCCCCCTTTTTTATATGTTATAAATGTTGTTTGTTAGATATGCATGTCCTATCCATAATCCAAAAATCTTTGAAGGTTTATTGTCGGTAATATTATTATTGTTACATGACCTTATAGCTTATCTTTGCTAAAGCTTAAAATATAATTCTAATTATAGTTAATGAATACTTCACATGACCCTCATTTTGACCTTCAATATTGAATTTTCTCATTGTGATTGATGTCATTGTTACTTTTCGTTCAGCTCTAGTTCATCCATCCCTCATCTCTTTCATAATCTTTTAATCGATACACAACAACACATACTTGTAGTTTGAGATTCACTTCCGTTTTTGATCAATTTTACATTTGAAAACATACCGATGATGTCCGGTTGGACGATCGATCTTAGAAAAAGCCAATGAAACCTACTTTTTTTTTAGCATTTCTCTTGTTTTGTTTGTAAAACAGTAAATTGTTGGAACTTTAAAACATTGTTCGCTCCTACAACTCAATTTGTATTTATTTTTCATGAAGATTATCATTTTAAAATGTATGAATATTCATGTTCGTCCTTTTTACAGTGCTGATCGGATTTGTCCGAGTGGTGTGTCTCGGCTTCCCGCAGGCAGTCCTCCTCTCAACTCTCTGAATTCTACATTCATACGAACTTGTGATGCTGTACAATTTCGAGAACATAGTTTAAACAGAGGTAAGCTATAGTTTATTAGTTTATTAAATTATATATTATTCATACATATCTCATTGTTACTTTTATAATGTTCATTCTTGTGTATATGTTCTTGCTATTTATTGGACACTAACTGGACATTTGATGACAATCAGATGGTGGATAAAAGTAGTTAAGCCATGTAACAACCTGGCTTCTTCTTGTTCTTTTTCTTGTTCAAATCGCCATCTCGTCCTCTTTTACAATTATCTGTTTTAATTGCCCCAAGGCTAAGACGACTAAGACGCGCTCATTCCGTTCATAGTAATTTAAAGATTTAGTTCATTCAAAATATTCCTTTTCTTTACTTAAAATTTATTAACATTCAATTGTCTTTTTTCTTCTCGTCAGGGGTTTGAACTGATCCATCTCGGAATCTTTTTGTGATTTGAGATCTTCGGATGTCATGAGACAGTTTTTAATCTCCTTTCTTTCGCCTTATCGGATCAGATTTTTTATTTCTTTCTTCTCCACCTTTGACACTTTTTACCTATATCTACATCATATTCTATCATAAAAAAATTATGTTTTTTTTTATTTTCCTTTTTTTTCTTTCATCTGATTGTTCGTTTATTCAGATCGAAGCGCATCATTAGAACAAATCCCTTCTGGCAGTACAGTATTTCAAACTGCCCTCGCTACATTACCTCGTAAGAAAGATCATACATCTAAAAAGTTTAAGGTTTAATATATATATATACTTCACAATTTATTCGGATATTTATGTTTCAGACTACTGCTCATCCTTCAAAGGAAACACGTATAGTTCGAAGAACGTCGAAGGTCACCGTAAGAGAAGGACTTGAACGAGTTGCTTGGGTGAGTTCAAAGCTTTCATTTCTTGTCATCTATTCATAATATAATCTCTTACTATTGTCTTGTTCTGATGACACTTCAGGATTGTCACCTTTTCA